CACACACACAACTTCATCTTCTTCATTCTACCCAAAACCAGCGCCAACCCCTCCCCCGGGCATTCATCTTCTTCCTTCTGCCCCTCTTCTACGTCCCCTATCAACTTCATCTTCTTCCCGTTCTCCTTCCCACCTTCACTGACCACAACAAAATTTCAATCCCATTTCCGGCAAATTACACCCATGACATTCCCCCATTAATCTGCCTCCTCTTCTTCAGTCTTGAAAAATAATCAATAGCAACAACCACGCCATAACAATATCATTGACACCCCTAAAATTCCAATCTCATTTTCGGTAATTTTTACCCATGGTTAGAGCTGCTGGGTCTTCGCGATTTGTTTGCTAGAAAAAATGAACGGTGGTTGATTTTAGTGTTGTATTTTATGGTGTTAAGGTGGAGTTCTAAAATTGAAAACAGAAAAAAGAAAAAACAGAGAGATGTGTGCTACTCCGTTTTTTCAAAGAAGGAGAAGACCTCAAATGGTTTCCTTATTTGATCTTTTTAAATGTGGATATGTGTCATCCAATTTCTTGGAAGGTGCTAGAAAATCAGTGTGAGGGGTTATTTGGGGGAAGGGGAGTGGGGAACGAGAGGGGGAGTGTGAAGGAAGAAGATGAAACTCGCGTGGGGTCCACATTATTTTAGGAAAAAAAAACTAATTTTAGGTAGGCAACTCGCGTCCCAGAGAGTGTATTTCACGCAATGGGGGCTGATATGGTCGGGTGTTTAGTTGATCTTCTTTTGTGAATAAATAAAGTGTCTAGCTGGAAATGGCCTTAATTGAAGTGTTCAGTTGATCGTTGAGGACAACTTAAAGGGGTGCTTTATGTATTTCGCCAAATTGAAAATCTCATAATCAATACAGCATACCAAACAATCAATAAAAAAAAAATATCAGAATAACTAATTCCAACATAATTTGTCTCAAACCAAACGACCCCTAAAAAGTATATATAACTTGAATTATATTACTTTATGTTTTCAATGATCCACCTATATGTTCGCAGTTCGATGCTCTTCAATGCATTGAATTATACTCTCATGAACTTGTAGCGTAATAATCTGAAAAGATCTCACAAAAATTGGACAAGAAAAAAAGAAAGAGGAAGAGGACAATGGAAAACGAAAAGAAAAGAAAAGAAAAGAAGGGAGACAAAGGAAGCTTAGATTCAAAAAAGTGAAAATAATAAAATGGGGAAGCTGGTTGGATTTCCACAATAGGCTGACCCTGACTAAACCTTTGTTTTGTACTATGCTATATACAGCCATGTAAATTTTTTCTTGTCTTCTCCTACAAAAAAGCATCTTGCACTTCTCTCTCTCTGTCTGCATAGTCACTAGCCCCGAGAGAGAGATATATATATTCCCTTCTTAGCACAGATTCTTTCCATCTCAGACATCTGTGTTTGACACCTTTTCATGAGTATGTTTGTACCAATAGCAGTATCCCACAAACGCATGAATAAATACAACAACAACAACATCGCCCCGTGTAATTCCACCGGTGGAATCTGGGGAGGATAATGTGTACATGCATAAATATAAATAACCTTAAACTATTAGGATTTAGGAGTCATATGACTTGGAAAAAAATAAAGGAAATTTTTATTTTCCAGTGTTTACTTCATGTATTGTTAGTCCATGTTATACTAAGTAGGCGTTTCGACATAAGAATTGTAAAATTTGAAAAAATGGTGAAAAAAAAATTCAAGTAAAAATTGTATTTGAAATTTAGAGTTGTGTTTGGACATAAATTTCAGCTTGGGTTGTTTTTGAAATTTTGTGAGTGATTTGAGTGAAAATTTTGGAAAACAGTTTTTTACAGTTTTTTAAATTTTCGAAATTTCCAAAATGCATTTTCAAGTGAAAATTAAAAATTTTATAAACAAACGTTGATTTCGAAAAAAAGAAATTTTTTTTTGAAAAAATCTTCCATCAAATTTTATGTTCAAACGGGCACTTAAGTATGTAGAATAAATACAACAATTGGTGTATTAAATTATATTAGAATTACCTATGCAGAACTCAACATATAACCCAAACACGGAACAAAGCAACACCAAATTTTATATCATGATTATTTCTTTTAATACATCTTACCAAACGTGTCCTTGGTTTAAACAAGTTACGTAAGAATAACAACATATAATTAGTAAATGAACTGATAATATAAAAAATAACTACAAATTTAATATATTAAAAAACTAAACTCATAAATAAATTAGCTTTCCTCTTGTCTCCTCCGGTCCTAGTTGGTCTTGCTATTAATAATAATGTGGCATGATCTACCACCTATTAAAAATTGTGGGACAGAACTTTTAACTTGGATAGATTTAGAAGTAATTAAACATCATTAGACCAATAAAGGGACATATTTAAACGTAAAATGGATGAACTTTGCCGAGGAGATTGAGCATGATTGTTGAGCTTTTTGACTTTTTAAACTAAAGCAAACTTATCAGCAAGAGTAGAACAAGAGTATGTATAAAGAATTGGGCAATCATGTCATCTTTCAAGTGCCCATTCTGAAACCTAATTATTTTAAATTACAAAGGATTTAATCATTATTGGATATGCGAAAGTCTTGTGCTTCCATCTTCATGTTGTTTTTCTTCTTTTCGTAAATTTATATCACTATCTATCTATGATATCCTATAAATTTTTCAAGATTCTTATGAGATAAGGTGTTATGCCACGTGGCGTCCACCTTAGTAAGATATTAGGCTACATAGGATGGTCTTAGCTATGATGGAGGGCCCTAACGAAGGAGGGATATTTTTGTAACATTAGGAGTAATTCTGGACCAGAAACTTAACGAAGGGCATAAATAGTTTTGGGAGTTTTGCACAAATATATACTATGTCAATTTAAGATTGAATTCCTACCTTCACTTCTACATTTAAAAAAGAACCGTCACTTATCACATGTGGCAAAAATTATATCAATCTCTCTCAACAAAGAATGTATCAGACACATTATTTTCTTTTCAATACAATGTCTCGTCTGGACGTATATTTATTTTTGGTTTAATCATTTGGTATCTAAAACCTCTGCTTCGAGTAATTCTAATTCACGTAGAGTAAGTCGACAAAGGAGGGTAAAGTGAAAGGTTCTTTTATTTTCGGAGCTCAGTCGCAATACTCTAGTTAAGTGTGAAAAAATCTCAACCATCCCACCGCACCTATCATTTTGTCTCTACACACATGTTTCTCCAAACACATTACACAGTGCACAATTTCAATTCTTAATACCTAAGTAAAGTAAAACTACATTACTACAAAAGAGTACCTGTAGTACTACCAGTTGAAGCATGAGTCGAGAAACTCAATATTTGGGGGCTTTTTTTGAAGTACAGATCATGAATTATTCCCAGCGTGACTTGGCCATTTTGTGCAGTGCAAAGATGCTTTTAGAGGATTCCTTTTGATTTCTGACAGAAATTTTTCGTTGTGGGCCATTTGTTAGCTCTATCGAGTTACAGAAGCAGCACTCTCTTTTGTACCCACAACTTCATTCAATTCTGACTATGAATCCTGAACCAATGGTCCAATATCCATTAGACTTTCCTTTGATCTCAAAATCTCAATTAGTCCTTCGGTTTTTTCCTGCTCATTCTTTTCTTTTCCCTCATTATCAGGATCTAGAAAATGTAATAGGAGTACTAAGAACTTTTAAATTCAAACTATGTTATAATGTTAATAGTGTGATATTTCTTGGTGGTCCATTGACATGCTACTGAAAAAATTCCGGGGATTTAAATATAACACAACACAACAGAGACAAATTTTGCTTCAATGGCTGAGCTGTTCAGGGTCAAGGGAGAACACTAGTAGATATTTTTTTCTACTCTTTTTCAACTTAACTCTGCCATTTCAAGATTTCATATCATATCAAGAACCAGTTTCACACAGCTTATAGCTATCTCTACCAAGAAAAGTTCTTTAGAAAAAAGAGAAAAAGCTAGCTCAACCCCCATTCCCCACACCACCCCCGTGTTCACATTTTTGTATAAAAGTAAACTAAAAGCCATTTTCCTTGGGCTTTGTTCACTCTCACAAAAACATGACCTAAAATATTAACACTCCCCATTCGGCCATTCTTCCCCTTTTCCCTCCACTTTTTCCTTTTACCTTTCCCATTTCTTCTCTTTTTTCCCATCACAAAACAAACCATCAGTCTATCACCATACTCCTAGCTTCTACCTTCTCATTTTAGAACATGGCCACACCTCAATCAATTTATTCTCTTTCAAGAATAACCAAGCCTTTTCTGCCTTTTTAGCTCATTTTTCCTTCCAAGATTACTACTTTATTGTTTAATATCAAATTCCACGAAAGTTAAATTCTTTTCAAACGGAGATAAACAAGAATATCTCCGACGGAAATACCGTACAGTCCATTTTAAACCTCAAGAAACTTTCTTATTCGGATTCTCTAAAGAATTTTTGGTTTTGGGTATTCTTCAAAATGTCCTCTACACCAGCTGAAGATCCTCAACAACAACAGCAACAGCTACTACCACCGCCCATGTTTATGGGTCAACAAGCTTATTCGGATCGCCCGGGTCACGGGTCGGTTGGACCCGTTATCGCTGTACTAGCGGTGATAGCTGTACTGGGAGCCATTGCTGTGATGATAGGCAGGTTGTGTTCGGGTCGGAGGATAATGGGTCGGGGTCAGTACGACTTT